AGATTGGGAGAGACAATCCTCCTCTCGAATTTAGGATCAATTGTATCATTGTTTTCGTTAATTCTCTTTTTTGCAATCCAATTACAATTTGGAGAGTTTTCAACCAGATTTTTGTGTGTTTCTCTTGTTGTTTTTCCCTATTCTTGTGTTGGACCGGTCCAATCGGTCCAGGCGGGACCGGTTCACGGGTGAAATTGCAAGATTAGCGGAGAAAACTTCCGCCTGGGCGGAAACCATGCAAGACGCAAGCTCCACAGGAGCGTTTTAGGAAGGATTTTTTTGGGGTTTAAGAGAGAAATTTGAATGTAGGGACTGTTTAGGGATTTCCTTTTAATTTGTACGCATTAAATAGTAGATTTTCCTAGGGTTTGATCATCTTGAATTTTGGCTGAAATTTGAGATCTCTTAGATTTAGGTTTTCTTTGGGCTCTAGCTGCGTCTAGAGATTTGGGAGAGATCGATCCTCCTCTCGAATTGAGGATCAATTGTATCTTGCTGTTTTTATTCATCTACTAGTGAAATATAAGCTTTCCTTAGAGTTTTATCTCAGATTTTCCCGGACAAGTGCTGTTTTTCTGCTGTAAACAGCAGATTTCTGTTGTTTTCCTGGTGTGGACAGCCATTTGGCTGCTGTTTGTTCGCCGATTTGGGTTAGGTTACTTGCGAACTCAAGTATTTCCTATCATCTTGTTAGGGTTTACTTTAAATATTCAAGTATTTCCTATCACAAAATTACTACTTTGATTCGAGTTTTTGCACCTGCAAAGTCCTTGGCACTTCATCAGACATCCTTGAGTGCATATCTAAAAGGCAAAACAGGTCCTTCTCATTATTTTCTGACCAAATCTATATATATATAACCCATTACAGTGGTGCTTCATCACACAGCGCCACAATGCTGCTTTCCAGCACTGCGGCTCTCCCTCAAACCTTTCTTTAATATAGAGAGGGCAGCACTGTGAGCCACCATTATGAGCACTGTAGTGCTCATTAGAGCATTTGACTCCTAACTTCCTTCTTTTTAATTTCATTTCTAAAATCATCTAGATAAATTAAACTTTTGATAACTTAGTTTTATAATGAAATCAAAACAAATTATAATTCATACCAAACCAAGTCTAGTCAACCAAATTCTAGAACAGCAGTTATTATAGTTGCTGCTTAGAACCCCTTGCTGAATCAAGGACAAGTATCGGATGCCCTCAACTGAGAGTATTCTTCGATATTGTATGCAATTAACCTTGGTACTTAATCCTATGGGAAATCCAATTCCTGATAACTAAATAAATCCTTCTAGGTCGACCATATTATTCAAGAGAAATCTGATAGGAAATACTTGAGTTCGCAAGTAACCTAATCAAAATCAGCGAACAAACAGCAGCCAAATGGCTGTCCACAGCAGGAAAACAGCAGAAATCTGCTGTTTACAGCAGAAAAATAGCACTTTTCCGGGAAAATTCGAGAGAAAACTCAAAGGAAAGCTTGTATTTCACTAGTAGATGAATAAAAACAGCAAGATACAATTGATCCTCAATTCGAGAGAAGGATCGATCTCTCCCAAATCTCTAGACGCCGCTAGAGCCCAAAGAAACCTGAATCTAAGAGATCTCAAATTTCAGCCAAATTCAAGATACTCAAACCCTAGCCAAATCAACTATTTAATGCATACAAATCAAAAGGAATTCCCTAAACAGTCCCTACGTTCAAATTTCCCTCTCAAAACGCTCAAAAAAACTTCCTAAACGGCTCTACGAGGGCGGACGGGCCGCTCGATCCCCGCATGAGGCGGAGATCCCGCCTCAGTTGCGAACTGCCGGTCCCGTGCGGACCGACTGGACTGGACCGGTCTAACAAAATCTGTAAAATATATTTCCAATTTGCCTTTCATTGAACTTCTCAGGCACATTAGAATTTGTTGGTCTTAATTTGGTACCCAATAACTATTCTAACCTGAACCTAAGGCTATTTAAAAGCTCACAACAGTGCATGCTAGAAGCTTTTTTTGTAGAAGATATTCTCTCTGTATAAGATATTTTTATTTCTTTTTCTTCTTTGTACGTAGGTGTGCTTGGGAATTGAGAAAAGGCCTAACGAATGCTTTTATTTTGTATACTACAATTATGACTCATTTGTTAGTATAATGGATTCTCTCTTCACTCCGATTGATGTAGGCTTAGTTGAAGCCATACCATGTAACTATTGGTATCTTTATGTTGTATTTTTTCTCTCTCTTTTGTCATTATTTGTGTACATCATTTTTTTATGATGACCTTCAGCTTTGATTCTTTTGACACCCTCAATACAAGATTTGTAATTAACACGGCATCATGAAACGTAGCTTGACTGAACAGACTCTAAGGCCTTGTTTGGGACGGGTTCTTCATTGTTTCTTAAAGCAGTTTTCTAGTACAAAATTTTTAATTTTTGTATTAAAAATTTGATTGCCTTAAGAAGCAGTAAAAAAGCTGTCCCAAATGAAGCCCAAGTCATGAAAGGAATATAACTCAAGTTTCAATGATAAAATGAAGGATTTCAAAGAAGACACAATTGCATGACATAGTGGAAAGCATAAGAGAGCCTTACATTATTTGAAATGGCTTCTAATGAGTTGCATTGGCCTTCAGGTATATAGGATGATTCTTGATCATTCCAAGCTTAGACTTCTTTTGACTCGAGGATGAACATTGAAGATTCTTGATAATAAATGATTTCACTTTCTGAAACCTGGTAATACATTAATGATATGGACTTTTTAAATTCAAAGTCAATCTAGAAAATTCTTCAAAGTGCTTATGTGACTTGGACTTTCTAAACTTGAAGATGAATCTAGAAGATTCTAGAGAATGCATAAATGACTTGGCCTTTTTTTATTCAAGATAAGTCTCGAAACCTTTTAGAGAAGAACCTCAAAACAACCTTTTTTTTGTTGGTTGGGGGGGAGGAAGAGGATATAAGTCATGAAATGAATATGTTACTTCTTCAAAATACAAATAATATACCATTTTATGTAAGCAACTGAGATAGGCTTCTCTGGACCTAAAAGAGAAGCTATCAAAATCGATTTTAACATTTAAGAAATACTAGACAGATAAAATTTAGCTTGGGTAGTGTTGGTCAGTTCATTCTCTAACAATTGAAGCCAAGCAATATCCTTTCTATTTAATAAGACCTCAGAGGCAATTCATATCTCAATTGTCAATTTGGAAGTTTTGGTTTGCTCAAACAATTCGTGACAGATACATCACCAATTTTAGAATCTCCTTCAAGGCTTCAACCAAGTAATGAGCTAAATTCTCACTGGCTCAAGATTAACTCCACAAGTTCAAGGAAGTGCTCAAAAGAAGCAAAAGAGCTCAACTTTCACTAGTAATATGAATGATTACATTAGAAGATTTCTAAGAAGTAACTTGCATGATGTAGTCAAGAGCATAAGAAAGACTTAAGATGACTTGAAGTGGCTTTTAATGGCTTGAACATCAATCACATCCCGGGACGAACCCGCTATATGTATTCTAGAAGATTCTAGAGAATCTATAAATGACTTCATACCTCTTAGACTCAAAAATACATAAAATGATTGGCCTTCTAAACTCAAACCATGAATCAAGAAGATTTAAGATAGAGTGCTTAGATAGCCTAAAGAGTGAGTAAATAATTTGGCTTTTTTAGACTCAAAGATGAACTTGGAATATCATAGAGAATGAACCTAAAAAATACATTTCCAAAAAAATATGCTTCAGCTATATTTTCTGCATATGGTGAACTATGGCATAGCATGAAGGTGTTCTTACTTAGTTTGTAACTTCACTTTAAATGCTGAATTTTTGTCATTCCTTGTACATGATGAAGTTCTTCTTCACAATTTTTTGCTTATTCAAGGGCTGAGTTTCAGAACTTAGTGCAAAACCTTCTGTTTTATCTTGGCCTTGGTAAGTAAAGTGAATCATCTTATACTTGAACAGATTGGATTCCGAGTTTTTTTTTTTTTTTCAATTTAGACTGAGTACATTCTCTAGTAAAAGAAAAACCTGAGTACATGCTTTGATATGGATTCTGCTAATGTGGGCTGGTTTTAATCACATCCTATTTTACAATGGAAAAAAGTTGAAAATAGTTCACAACTATTTATATGAGGCAAATTTAGTCGAGAGTATCACATTTCTCTTAGTTAGTTCATCGACAATTCAAAATCAATCCAAAAGGATCCCTCGGGAACTAAATTTGGATCTATTTAGTATCCCAATTTCCATCAATTTCTACCTAATGGGCTATTTGAAATAAGTTTTGTATAGTCGATGAACTAACTTGATCACATATAATTAGTGTTGAACTACACAAACTTTTTCTCATTTAGCAACGCACGTTCCACGGGCTCCATTCAAATGATTTATTCCAAGCAATTCTATTTCTAAGATAACTTTAAAAATACATCCAAGTAATCATTTACTTAATTCACAAGAATCAAAATTATGTGTGTTACTTCTATTCAAAATTCTTTGTAGTTTGCTATAAAGTATATTTCGGATTTGGAAAAGTGATCAAAATAATAGTTGGTTGTTGATCGCTTATCAAAATAATAACAGGGTATTGACATTTTATAGACTTTCGATGACCCTGTTAGGATAGATGTATTAGATATAGTTTATGTTTAAAAATAAAAGTAGAGGTAGACCTAAAAAAGCTTGATTAGAAAGTATTAAAAATGATCTTTATTTTAATTAAACTTAAATAAGAATTTGACTCCTAATAGGACATAATGAAGAAAAGGAATTCATGTAGCCGACACCCCATAGTGGGATAAAAAACTTCTTTGAAATCATCGATCCTTTCTTTCACAATCGAGTTCAGTCGGTTTATGAAAACGAATGAAAGTAGGTTCTAATTGTTAGAACTTATCTTCATAGCAATGAGAAGTGAGTTTCAATTATGTAAGCTTAGATGTTATTATCAGCTTTGCTTTTTTTTTACATATAAGAATTTTTTTTTTTTTGGTAGCTTGGATAAGCTTATCTGCTAGGACCTCATTTGGCTGCTTGTAGTTAGAAAACACATCTTCAAAAATAATGAATATGTAAGAGTGATTTTCAACTCTATAAACTGCTTCATGGCATCTCCAACCGAAAATCTCATTTTTCATTCCAAAATGCAGTGAAACTAAAAAATGGCGTGATTCATCTCCAATCGAACTTCATTTTGCGCCCAGATAACTGTCTTTCTCCTTCGTGCGTTTCTTAGACAAATCCGGTAGAGAAAGAAACATAGCGAAGGTGAACAGTGTTACATCAATAATGGCGCCGCACTGTTCACCCGCAACCAAATACCATAAGTTTTTCTGTTTCAGCTGGAGCTCGCGAGCGAACGCCATTCATGTGTTTGGAGTTCAGTTGGAGAAGGCTTCAAAGCCTATAAAAGTGAGGATTCTGATATCTCACTTAAAATAATTCAAAAACAACTTCTACAAGCAACTAAATGAGCTGTAAAATGAACAAATTCAGAGCAATCATTGAGTGGGAATATGCTGAACAGCCAATGGCATGCCATATTACTCAATGGTTTTTATTCTGTTATGTGTGTTTGTTTCTGCTTCTCCATAATCTAGAAGAAGACATGAAATAGGGGCCAAATAAGCAGTATGTCATAGGGTGGACCACTTGACCATAATTCACACTGAGGTCATTGTTTGCACTGTCTAAATTATTTGTTCTTTGATTTTGACAGCTTTTGAATTTACTTTGATTATTTTAACTATTTACTTCACCATTGATGGTATTTCTTGTGCAGACTTTTTATTATTTAATTATGTTTTCTTCATGTTTCATTTGACAGCAAGCCTTTAGTGTACTGAACAGTTAGGAGATGCATACAGAGAGTGGTACTCTTGTCACCATTCCACTTAAGGAAATAGATAGTTGTTATCTCATTGCCCACAACAGACAAAAGGTGTAAAACAAGCATATATGTAATCATATCTGTAGGTTTTTCAATGATCTTGTCTCGGGTCGATTTATTCGCGGCTCAAGATCGTCTCAAAGTCATTCAATTTGTGTTCTAGACGAGTAAAACTTGGTCGTAGGCTTGCTTCGTTATCTTTCGATTCAAGCCAAGCTTGTTTGTTTGTGTTTATGCTCAAATTTAGTCGAAAATCAATCCATTTTCAACCATTTTTCGATTTAGTTTGGAGTCTAACCTTCGTATTTGCATAATATAGTTGCATATTTCGATCTACATGCATGCACAATAGATCTCGTTCGGGCTAGCTCAATTCTATCTTGGTCATTGTTTGATTGAAGTTGCGCTAGCTTCATTTTTAGCTCATTTATCTCGATCTAAGCTAATTTTGAACAAAAAATTAGTCTCTTTTAGGAGAAATTATTCCGTGCAGAGTCCGGATGGTAAAGTACCGTCTTGATGTGAGTGTACACAGCGTTTGTACACACTGTATAAAAAAAACCAAATTGTACACAAAATTATACTCACATCCGGACGATTATTTATCATCTGGACTCCGCACATAATAATTTCTCTTCAGATGATTTTCAGTCTTCAAATCAAATTTAGAAACATATGTTCCTTATGATTAAACTTGGTGCTTCTTCAAGTTATAAACACCAAAAATCTCCATAGTAACCTCATTAATGTGTTGTTCATGGGAGTTTTGACAGCAGCTGGGTTACATCTCATTATCAAGAAGGTTTATCAATGTTGAAACCTAAAAGCTAGTTGTAGACTGGGTACCACTTGGATGGAGATACTTTAACTGCTATATATATAATTTTTCCCTAAATTATTTTTTTGTGAATTATGAGTGCCATAATGTTCATTAATATGAGATTATCATAAGCCTATTTAGGCCTTACTACTATGCTTATTAATATAACTTCTGATAATAGCAGGCCCACATTTACTTATAACATTGGTAAAGAAATATCATTCAATATGTAAAGAACATCAATTCATGTAATAATTTTATAAGATTTTTGTTGAGCTCAACTAAGCCTTGTTTGAGATACAAGTGTTAATAAATGATCCGACCCGACCTGACAATCCGATCCAAAAAATTCGGGTTCGGATTGACCTGTTTAATAAGCAAGTCAGTTTTGGGTCTAAAATTTTGACTCGTTTAATTGGCAGGTCGTGCTTGAGCTGACCAGTAAGTCTGATGTTGACCCGATAGTGACATGAACAATTTTTTTTTTTCTTTGAATTCTTTTGCTTATTTGGTATGCACTTTTTACTTTTGATCAATTAACCCAAACTTTATAGTCGTGAAGTTTTATTTTTTTTAATCAAAACGGGTTATTGGATCAATTGGGTTCAAATTGAGTCAATTTCATGTCGGATTCAAACCCGACCCGTTAAACTATTTTGAAGCACCTACTTTGAGGTATTGTTTTGCACAATGTGTTATGTTGTGCATATGAAGAAATTCCTATTCATCTATACAAATGAGAACAGGTTTAATGACTGGCTAATGGCCAAGTCAAAGATGACTTGGTCTATTTATGAATCATTAAATTTTAATATTAAACACAGTCAACAACCTTTTTTCTTGTATCAGTTGAGAGACAAGAAATGTGTTTTTTTTTTGGTTGAATTTGCTAATGAAGAGTCATTCAAATAATGCTCTTCTAAGAGATAGTAAAAACAAAAAAAATGAATAAGTTAGTGCCTTTTGTCAATAAATCTTATCATAGAAGGGTGCTTTGTAAAAGGTGATATTGAACTGGTTGAATTCTCAAGCTATGTGAAAGAAACTTTAAATATATAAACATGAGAATATTAAGTTTGATTTTGTTACGGGTTGAAAATTTACTTCGGTAGAGTGGAAGATATATGTCTTAACTTTTGATAAAAATTCAGCATGCTCAAATGAAACTTATAAGAGATCATTAAGTTTTTCGTGGAAATCCCTGAAAGGTAAAGAATCATGAGGTTTGATTTAGTTGAAAAATCAGGAAAGGGATATATAAGAATCCTCCTTTCCTCAGAGTTGAAGAGGAGAAGGATTGTGTGAGCAAAGGTTTTATTTATCCTATAAGGATTATAGAAATAAGGTCTCTAGTTAGTACCCAGTAATAGGGTTAGATCTTAACTGGAGTTTAGAGACAACGATGGAGATTGCTGGCGGTGGTCAGATAGTTGATACACAACCATAGTATTAGATCTAGATAGGGTTAGATCTTAACTGGAGTTTAGAGACAACGATGAAGATGGGGGTGATTGTTGGTAGTGGTTATCGGTGATTATGACGATTGGCAATGGTCTTTTGGCTATGATAGCTGGTGGTGGTCATTGGTGGTGATAGTTAAAAAATGCTAAAAATATTTTTTGTTCTCTCAACCCTTGGACCTCCCTTTTCTATAGAAAAAGAGGCTCTAATTCTGGTAGTTTTGACCTAGATTATAAAGCTTTTGCACAGTAACTAAGTGCCTTAATAATGTTGTAAGTAAGTTATATTGGGCTCAATGGATTTGTCTCGTCAAGTCACTTAATTCAACACTATAAGCATGTCAAATTTGAAAATTATTTGATCATTCAAGTAATGTTTAAAATTTTCAATTATGCAAAGTGTTTGATTTGGTCCCATTTATGCTCATATTGGACCACTTCTGGTATCGTTGGGTTCATCTTGTCAAGACATTCAATCATATTATAAATTTGATAAAATTAGAGTTTAGATGATCCTGAATTTAATTCTGAAAGTTTTCACTATAAATTTTACCTCGAAATTCATGCCAGTCATGCAAATGTTTTGTAGACATATAAAATTTTATTATTAAATAATAAAGAATGTGTTAATATCAAAATATCAAGTGAAATTTTAACCCTTTTTCACACAAAAGTTGAAGAACAAGCTATAGAGAAATTAAGGGTAAAGTGCAATGGAGGAAAATTTTATTTTTTGTTCTTTTGAATAGATTGCCTTCTTGAGATTTTTGGAATTCCATCAAAATTAATTCATTTTTTTTTATTATTTGTGCACCTTTGCTTATTATATTTCTCTTTCTAATTTTAAATTTATTTTAGATGGTTAAAATATGATCACTTACTATCTTCTTCTCTTCATAACTCAGACTTTTTTAAGGCACATGTGATTTTTAAGTTATAATAGGGCTCAAGGGACCGCTTCTATCACATGCACTATTTATTAACTTAGATGTGTATTGGGAATTTACATACATGACATAGAATTATTATGTATTTATTATATATCTAACATCTAAATTTTTATATAACATGCAAATGTTTAAATCATAGGAGACATATAACTAATATTCAATTTTAAGAAGCCAAAATAACTTCAATTTTTCACTAAAAATGGTTAATATATGATCCAAACAATAATTATTGTTGATAATCTTATCATTAGAAGAGTTATACTATAAACAACCATTAATTAATAGTTGTTGATAATAATTTTATATATTTTTATATAACACTAAGAGCATATTTGGAACAGTTTTCTTTCTGCTTTGTTTTTCAGACAGACCCAACAATTTTGTTCAGTTGTTTTCTTGTAACCATGATTAAATAGTTATTTTCCCCACAGCAACTTCACAACCAACTTTATAAAACGTTGTAACTGTCTTAAATAATATACTCTTAATCATTTCTATCAGCATTTGTATGAAAATATGCAATGTATATAATAATTTAAACATGATAAATAAATAAATATGAAGGTTTAGGATCCGTTTGGAATGACTACAGCGTTTTAGAATGGTGATTGTAAAGCTACCGTGATAAAAGCTGTTTTTAAGGCTTCATTTGGGATGACTTTCTTACTGCTTCTTAAAGCAATTTTTAAGCACAAAAAATAAAATTTTTGTACTAAAAAGCAACTTACAATGCAGTAAGAAAGCCAACCCAAACGAAGCCTAAAGCTGCCGTAGAAAGCATTTTTCTAGCACAAAAATTTATTGAAAGTAACGATCGGACAAAAAACTATAATTACGATATGAAAGCAAAACAAAGTTAGCTAAACAATCACATGTGATTGAGGCTATTGGGGGATCGATCATATCTGAAACGTGTGTTGTTTTGGTCCACACTGTTTTTAGGTAGTTAGATTGCTTAAATTCCATCTTAAAACTATAAAAATGAAGCTATGAATCATGCGGTTTTATTATTTTATTAATTTCTTAGTCGATCCACTTGACAAAGCATTTAACACTGCTCCTTTCCTTAGCTGTTCTTCACGACCTCACCTAAGATTTTGACCTCTTGTAATTAACCTCTTTTATTTTCTTAATTAAGACGCCAAATTTCCTTCATTTTTACTCTAAGAATGGTTAATTATGTGATATAAACAATAATTATTGTTGCTAATCTTATAATTTCCATGTTTATTTTGTTATGATTTTGATTAACATGATATAATTATATGGTAATTGTGAATCTCTTTTATGATTTGGTGATTATAAAAAATAAAGTATTAAAAATAGTTTATTAATCTTTGTTAGGATATGATTAATTTTTTTAGTTGATATTAAGTAGTACTGTATAATATTTTCAAAAGAAGCATTAAATTATAATCAATTGTTTAGATGTACATTGACCAATTGATTAAGAGTGATAGCATTATGCATTAATAAATATTATTCCAATTTTTACCTATTTGAAAATTAATTAAAATTAATTTCAAATTAACTCAAATTTAAATAAATTCACTTAATTGGCAATATTTTATGGATGATAGTACTAGTGATTACTAATAAAAAGGATTTAATTTAATATTATTTTATTTAAAAATATAAAATTATTTTGAAAGACCAATGAG